ATTCGCAGTTCGTAGCATAATTCGCGTTAGGTGATCATTAAATGCATTTTCGGTTTGGAGCACTTAAACGACTTGGCTACAATTGTTAACGCCTCGTTGCTCAGCTCCTGTTGCCCATTAGATTCTAAATTTCAACCAATATAACACTTCCGCCCATATACCATCACACTTTTTCATTTCCTACCTCCAAGCAGGAACTCCTACCTTTTCGGTAAATAGCCTAATCCCCCAACCTCTCCTTTGGCCCTTCGTTGCAGTTTTTCGCTAATATTTGCTCTGATAAGCCATTATCAAAAGCACAGATGGGCTAGCATAGAAGGCGTAACATTGTTTGTGCTTTCATAGTTATTTACCCATTTCCAAGTACAATTCGTTTGTCCTCAATAACATTAACTGATCGATTCCAACTATGCTCCCTCCGACCAAGCGATCTCAGTGCTAAGCCCTGGTGTTAGCTGTGCTGTTGCTTTCGATCTTCGCTCCTTCCTTTCATCTCTCGCCAGTTTCCTGTAAGCCTAACATCATCAATTACGAGCTGCTTTTGTTCGGCTGAAATTTTAAAATTTTTAATTTTCTCACTTCTTTTGTGACACATCGATCTTAGCGCCTTCCAACCACCTATGCACATTCCGGATTTACGTTGTCGAGTGTTCCAGTTTCGACCAGAGACCCAGTTGTCAGTGAGTTGCAAGCAGGCGCCACACTTTTTCACTGCCCTGGTACTATAGTTGGATGGTTTCTCGAGCCGGCTATTCTAACAGTTGTCTGTAGTACAAAGACCTACCTAGTTTAATGCTCCCTAAAGAAAGCTGCGTCGTGAATTCTTCCAGTAGCTACAAAACGAGCAAAAGCTTTAAGAAGGAGCAATGTAGAAAAATATTGTGCCGATTTATTCATGAAGTATTAAGCACAGAAAATTCAACTGCTCGAGAAATTTCTTCAAAAAAAAAAAACCATTCTCTTCGGCTTACAAAAAAATCATCCTATTTGGCATACATTTCAGTTTTGGAATATTTGAACTGTGTAGAAGCTCAGTGAATGATCATCATTTTGCAGGATGTCGCACAAAAAAGGAATTTTGTCGCATGGTAGCAGTCAACAAGCTCATGTAAAAATAATTGCTGAAGAGAAAAAGAGGGATCCCGCGGCGGTTGCTCCTCCACCACCGCCTGCCTCGGTAAGTACCCTTCTTCCTTCTAACACAGGCGGAGAGAACTAAACGAGGCATATTCATATGGGTCAACAATGGATGCCAGAGCACTTTTTTTCCTAATTAGTGTATGTTTTTACGGCATGGCTTCTGCTCCATTGGAAATACTGACCAACAGTACACATCGTTCACTCGAAGAAATAAAAGCTACAGTACTGAAACGTAGAAACTCCGCGTCAGTGATATAAAATCAAATTTCAACAAAGCTGTGTGAAAAGTCAAACCCAGAGCTCACATTAACCTGCTGTTTTTGTTTTTTACTGGATGAATAACCTGTTGAAAACCTGTTTGTTCTTATGCGCTCTTTTATTTTATGGGAATGCAAAAACGCACAATGTCGAGAGCATGTCTGTGTGTGTATTTTCAGGAGCGAGTGAACTTTGCCACCTACTTTCAACTTAACAACGGGGAGAGCCACAATGCAACAC